GGTGGGAGACGACCGACTTGTTGAGAAAAAAAAAAAAAAAAAAAGTGATAGAGTGGATCGGAGAGCAATGTGGCAGATGTTGCAAGTATATGGAATAGGTAGTAAGTTACTAAATGGTGTAAAGAGTTCTTATGAGGATAATGAGGCTCAGGTTAGAGTGTGTAGGAGATTACTTTCTGGTAAAAGTAGGTCTTAGACAGGGATGTGTAATGTCACCATGGTTGTTTAATATATTAATAGATGGGGTTGTAAAAGAAGTAAATACTAGGGTGTTCGGTAGAGGGGTGGGATTAAATTTTGGGGAATCGAGTACAAAATGGGAGTTGACACAGTTACTTTTTTGCTAATGATACTGTGCTTATGGGAGATTCTAAAGAAAAATTGCAAAGATTAGTGGATGAGTTTGGGAGTGTGTGTAAAGGTAGAAAGTTGAAAGGGAAAATAGATAAGAGTAAGGTGATGAGGGTATCAAACGATTTAGATAAAGAAAAATTGGATATCACTTGGAGAGAGGGAGTATGGAAGAAGTGAATGTTTTCGGATATATTTGGGAGTTGACGTGTCAGTGGATGGGTTTGTGAAGGATGAGGTTAACCATAGAACTGATGAAGGAAAAAAGGTGAGTGGTGCATTGAGGTATATGTGGAGAAAAAAAAAATTATCTATGGAGGCAAAGAAGTGAATACAGTGGACCCCCGCCTTACGATATTAATCCGTTCCTGAGAGCTCATTGTGAGCCGAAATTATCGTAAGGCGAGTTAATTTTCCCCATAAGAAATAATGGAAATCAAGTGAATCCGTGCAAGACACCCAAAAGTCTGAAAAAAAAAATACCACTTGAAATATTAATTTTAATACACACAAACTTAAGAAGACATGCACAATTAATACTCTACTAAGAATAGAATACATGACACTTACCTTTATTGAAGATCTGGTGATGATTGATGGGATGGGAAGAGAGGAGAGTGTGGAAGTTGTTATTGTTTAGAAGGGGAATCCCCTTCCATTAGGACTTGAAGTATCAAGTCCTTTTCCGGGGTTACTTCCCTTCTTCTAACCCCTTGACTGTCGCAACCCCGATCCTGAGGTGTCTCCTGGTGTCGCAAAATTTAAAAAAATATATATAAATTATTTTTTCTTATGAAATGATAGAGAATATTTTCCCGATTGTAATGACACCAAAAAAGCGAAATTTGATGGGAAACTGACAGAATTATGCTCTCGCAAAGTAAGCGATCTCGGCGATATTTACAAATCGGCGATTTCGCCCACTTTGAGCCCTATTTTTGGCTAATTCCATTGTTCCAATCGACCAAACTCATAGCTATTTCTTTAGAAATAGTAAGGCGGGGGTCCACTGTATATGAAAGTATAGTGGTACTAACACTTATATGGGTGTGAAGCTTGGGTTGTAAATGCTGCAGTAAGGAGGCAGTTGGAAGCAGTGCAGATGTCCTGTTTAAGGGCAATGTGTGGTGTAAATATTATGCAGAGAATTCGGACTGTGGAAATTAGGAGGAGGTTTGGAGCTAATAAAAGTATTAGTAAGAGGGCAGAAGAGGGGTTGTTGAGGTGGTTTGGTCATTTAGAGAGAATGGATCAAAGTAGAATGACATGGAAAGCATATAAATCTATAGGGGAAGGAAGGCGGGGTAGGGGTCGTCCTCGAAAGGGTTGGAGAGAGGGGGTAAAGGAGGTTTTGTGGGCGAGGGGCTTGGACTTCCAGCAAGCGTGCGTGAGCGTGTTAGATAGGAGTGAATGGAGACGAATGGTACTTGGGACCTGACGATCTGTTGGAGTGTGAGCAGGGTAATATTTAGTGAAGGGATTCAGGGAAATCGGTTATTTTCATATAGTCGGACTTGAGTCCTGGAAATGGGAAGTACAATGCCTGCACTTTAAAGGAGGGGTTTGGGATATTGGCAGTTTGGAGGGATATGTTGTGTATCTTTATATGTGTATGCTTCTAGACTGTTGTATTCTGAGCACCTCTGCAAAATCAGTGATAATGTGTGAGTGTGGTGAAAGTGTTGAATGATGATGAAAGTATTTTCTTTTTGGGGATTTTCTTTCTTTTTTTGGGTCACCCTGCCTCGGTGGGAGACGACCAACTTGTTGAAAAAAAAAAAAAAAAATAATGATACATATATAATAATAATGTACTACATGTAATAATTATAATAATAGACGGCTTCAAAAGGCTGTCAGTAAATGGCAGTGTTTACCATAACAAAGAGGGAATGGTTGTGGCCACCTCCACCTGTTACATAATGACATATTTTATTCATTCTAGAGTATATATCATATTATTATTATTATTATTATTATTATTATTATTTATATTGTTTATGTCATATTAGATGAACTGTAATAGATAAATAAGCTGTATAGATGATATTAGCAAAATTATTCATGAAGTATTTTGCCCGGTCTCCAGACAAACTCTCGTCCACCGCCAACACCGCCCATACCACTACATGAATGACATATTTTATTAATTTTAGAGTATACAGTGGACCCCCGGTTAACGATATTTTTTCACTCCAGAAGTATGTTCAGGTGCCAGTACTGACCGAATTTGTTCCCATAAGGAATATTGTGAATTAGATTAGTCCATTTCAGACCCCCAAACATACACGTACAAAAGCACTTACATAAATACACTTACATAATCGGTCGCATTCGGAGGTGATCGTTATGCGGGGGTCCACTGTATATCAGATTTCTGTGTTATTTATATTGTTTATTATATCATATTAGATGAAGTGAGATAGATAAATAAGCCATAGAGTTGATATTAGTGAAATTATTGAAATACAGAATTCCACTGGAATGGATTAATTGCATTTCAATTAATTTAAATGAGGAAAATTGACCCTGCAAATGAGCAAATCCAGTTGCAAGCAAGGTCATGGAACGGAATAAACTCGCAAGTAGAGGTTCCACTGTATTATTTTTACTTTTATTCTATTTTTTCTTTTCTAATATTTTTTCATGTAACTTTTGTGGCCTGTAAGACCAATATAATACATAATGTACATACACTCGTTGGCACTGATTGGCACCCTGCTGCCAATCCCAGATGCAGTCTGCTGGTGAGTACTGGATATTGACAGGTGGTTGTGGTTGTGAAGGTTGTTGTGGTTGTGAAGGTTGTTGTGGTTGTGCAGGTTGTTGTGGTGTGTGGGTGGTTGAAGGTGGCCTTTGTTATGGATGTGCTGAGTCAGCAGCATGGCTACCAGCTTGGGGTACCGCTAGTGCCACATGACGCATTGCACCACCACCACCACCTGCTGCCGTGTGTGTATTATCCATCCCATTGTAACATTACTCATTACCCATACTGTTTTCCTCACCACCCTTGCCGTCTTACCCACCACCCACATTGTTTTCTCCACCACCCATGCCGTCTTACCCACCACCCACATTGTTTTCCCCACCACCCACACTGGCTTCTCCACCACCCACACTGTCTTCACTACCCACACTGTCTTCACCACCCACACTGTCTTCTCCACCACACTGTCTTCCCCACCACCCACACTGACTTCCTCACCACCCACACTGACTTCCCCACCACCCACACTCTCTTCCCCAACACCCACACTGTCTTCTCCACCACCCACACTGTCTTCCCCACCACCCACACTGTTTTCACCACCCACACTTTTCCCCACCACCCACACTGTCTTCACCACCACCCACACTGTCTTTCCCACCACCCACACTGTTTTCACCACCCACACTGTTTTCCCCATCACCCACACTGTCTTCTCCACCAGCCACACTGTTTTCCCCCCACCACCCACAGTCTTCTCCACCACCCACACTGTCTTCCCCATCACCCACACTGTCTTCACCATCCACACTGTCTTCCCCACCACCCACATCGTCTTCCTTACCACCCACACCGTCTTTCCCACCACCCACACTGTCTTCTGAACCACCCACACTGTCTTCCCCACCACCCACATTGTCTTCACCACCCACACTGTCTTCTCCACCATCCACACTGTCTTCTCCACAACCCACACTGTCTTCTCCACCACCCACACTGTCTTCCCCGCCACCCACACTGTCTTCTCTACCACCCACATTGTCTTCTCCACCACCCACACTGTTTTCCCCAACACCCACACTGTTTTCCCCAACACCCACACTGTTTTCCCCAACACCCACACTGTTTTCCCCAACACCCACACTGTCTTCCCCACCACCCACACTGTCTTCCCCACCACCCACATTTTAGTTGCCTCGTACAACACGCATGGCTTACGGAGGAAGAATTCTGTTCCACTTCCCCATGGAGATAAGAGGAAATAAACAAGAACAAGAATTAGAAAATAGCAGAAAACCCAGGAGGTGTGTATATATTTATATATATATGCTTGTACACGTATGTGTATTGTGACCTAAGCATAAGTAGAAGTAGCAAGACGTACCTGTAATCTTGCATGTTTATGAGACAGAAAAAAAGACAATCCTACCATCATGTAAAACAATTACAGGCTTCCGTTTCACACTCACTTAGCAGGACGGTAGTACCTCCCTGGGCGGTTGCTGTCTACCAACTTGCTACCTAGGAATTACTGACAATATGTTAGGTAAAAGGACACAAGTGCAAATAATGGGACATTTTATTGTGGCAACATTTTACTTGATGCCTTTACAAGTATTAAGGTGGTGAATATCAAGGTAGCTCAATGCTAAGTGTTCCCAAGAGGCAGAGGGGCACTGCACCAGGTCAGCTGATGCAGTGCTTCTCTGGTAATCATCACTAAAGCACCTTATTTTCTTTCACTAGATATTTCATAATACTGTGTTGCCCTTGCTTATGTTGATGTTCTGTCACTACGTGTAGTATGTAAAAGTCACTTTTACAATTAAAATACAATGTTACTTAGTGGGCTCATATTCTTCTCTTATATTTGTCAGGTAAACAGGCATAACTAAGAACTGTAACACTATCTTCCTTTGAATTACATCTATCTTTACAGACAAATGCAACTTGCCCTCAAGATCGAAAACCATTTGACAAAGTGCATGTGCGAAAGGCTTTTGGAGAACCCATAGATAGAGATATCCCTGTCAAGAAACAAAAAGAAGTGGTGTATATTCCTGAGGAAGATAATCCTACATACTGTGAGGTAAGGTTTAAGCTTAAAATTACAATGGGCCAGATATCATTTAGCCAATTTCCTTCATGTATTTTCCACATTTAACTTTTTCACTGTCTAGAACACTAAAATAACTATTGCTTTCAGTGTCCACTTTTTTTTTTTTAATAATTCTTCTGAAATTATCTTTTTTTTCTGAAGTTAATGACACCAAAATATGAAATTTGATGGAAAACTTATGGAATTATGTAGGTGCAAAGTTACTAGTCTCTGAACAGTTTATGCATCAGCAATTTCTCCCACTTGAGTCCTACTTTAACCCCTTTGGTGCCCATGCAGTAATACTACGGGTTTGAGGTCACTGTCAGTGCCATAGTACACCATGAGCTCAACTTACTCAGATAAGCAAATGGTAAATTTGGGCCTAGATTTGAGAGAATGAGTCTATGGGGTAAGTGTGAACAATACAAAATAATCCTGCAGCATGCAGTACATAATGAGAAAATAAAACTGCAACCATACCTTATGAGTTTCGAGAGTTTAACTACTCTTAAAGCCTGGTCATGGGCCAGGTTTGTCCAGTGCTTGCCTGATCAACCAGGCTGTTGCTGCTGGAGGCCCACTGCCCCACATATCCATCACAGTCTAGTTGATCTGGTACCTGGTGAAGATACTTGTCCAGTTTCCTCTTGAAGGCTTCTACACTTGTTCCAGCCGTGTTTCTGATATCTTCTGGTAAGATGTTGAATGGTCTGGAACCCCGGATGTTGATACAGTGTTCCCTTATTGTCCCCACTGCACCCCTGTTCCTCACTGGGTTTGTTTTACACATCCTCCCATATCTTTCACTCCAGTATGTTGTTATGGCAGTGTGCAGATTTGGGACCAGGCCCTTGAGTACTTTCCAGGTATATATTATCGTGTATCTCTCTACGCCACTCCAAAGAGTACATGTTCAAGACTTGAAGGCGTTCCCAGTAATTTAGGTGCTTTACTAGCTCAGTGCGAGCCGTAAACGATCTCTGTGTTTGTTCCAGCTCTGATATTTCTCCTGCTTTGAATGAGGCCATCAGCACTGAGCAAAATTCTAAATGAGGGAGCACTAGCGATTTGAAGAGTGTCACTATCAGCATTATTTCACATGTTTTGAAAGTTCTCAATACTCAATACTCACCTCGTTATCTTCCTGGCTGTCTTGATCTTTGTCTTGTTAGGTTCCTTAAAAGAAAGGTTAGCTGACATAATTATTCACAGGTCTTTGACGTGTTCCTTTCTTTCTATTTGGTGACCCTCTTGAGTTTTGTATATAGTGTTCCTTTTGAGTTCTTCATTCTTTCCATACCTAAGCATCTGGAACTTATCATCATTGAATTGCCCACTGGAAAACCCTGCTTATGTATTCCTGTAATTTTTCAGTGTCCTCTACCATAATGACTTTCATAGTTATTTTAGTGTTATCTGCAAATGATACAAAAGTGTGACAGGTGTTTTTATCCATATCTGCTATGAGGATGAGAAACAGCAGAGGTGCCAGGACAGTGCCTTGGGGCAATGAGCTTTTGACCTCATTGATGCTGGATCTTGCTCTGTTTACTACTACTTATTGTGTTCTGTGTGTTAGGAACCTGAAAATCCATCTTCCTACCTTCCCCGTAATGCCCAAGGCCTTCATTTTGTGCGCTATCACTTCATGATCGCATTTGTCAAACGCCTTTGTAAAATCTGTGTAAATCACATCTGCATTTTGGTCTTCTTCCAGTGCCTGTTATTCTGTCATACTGGTTCAGCAGCTGTGACAGGCATGATCGTCCTGCTCTAAAACCATGCTGGTTTGGGTTATGCTGGTTGTGCTGGGCCATGAAATTTGTAATCTGCCATCTCATCACACTTTCAAAGATTTTACGATGTGAGAAGTTAGGGCTACTGGTCTGTAGATTTTTGGCTAGTGATCTACAGTTTAAAACAGCAACTTTGCACATAATGAAAGTAGTTTGTTAGATTATGTATTGGTGGGTAAAAGGTTGATGGGTAGGCTCCAGGATGTACACATTTATAGAGGGGCAACTGATATATCGGATCATTATTTAGTTGCAGCTATAGTTAGAGTAAGAGGTAGATGAGACAAGAGGAAAATGGCAACAAGAAGTAAAAGGGAGGTAAAAGTGTATAAACTAAGGGAGGAAGAAGTTCGGGTGAGATATAAGCAACTATTGGCAGAAAGGAGGGCTGGTGCAAGTATGAGTAGTGGGGGGGTTGAAGAGGGTTGGAATACTTTTAAAAAATGCGGTATTAGAATGTGGGGCAGAAGTTTGTGATTATAGGAGGGTGAGTGCAGGAGGAAAGAGGAGTGATTGGTGGAATGATGAAGCAAAAGGTGTAATAAATGAGAAAAAGGTAGTTTATGAGGCAAAGAAGGGAATGTATAAAAGTATGGAGGCAAAGAAGGGAATGTATAAAAGTATACTAGTACCAAGACTCTTATATGGGTGTAAAGCTTGGGTTGTGAATGCAGCAGCGAGGAGGCGGTTGGAGGCAGTGGAGATGTCCTGTCTAAGGGCGATGTGTGGTGTAAATATTATGCAGAAAATTCGGAGTGTGGAAATTAGGAGAAGGTGTGGAGTTAATAAAAGTATTAGAGGGCTGAAGAGGGGTTGTTGAGGTGGTTTGGTCATTTAGAGAGAGTGGATCAAAGTAGAATGACATGGAGAGCGTTTAAATCTGTAGTGGAAGGAAGGCGGGGTAGGGGTCGTCCTCGAAAAGGTTGGAAGGAAGGGGTAAGGAAGGTTTTGTGGGCGAGGGGCTTGGACTTCCAGCAGGCGTGCGTGAGCATGTTCGATAGGAGTGAATGGAGACAAATGGTATTTGGGAACTGACGATCTGTTGGAGTGTGAGCAGGGTAATATTTAGTGAAGGGATTCAGGGAAACCGTTTTTTTTTTTTTTTTGTTATCACACTGGCCGATTCCCACCAAGGCAGGGTGGCCCGAAAAAGAAAAACTTTCACCATTATTCACTCCATCACTGTCTTGCCAGAAGGGTGCTTTACACTACAGTTTTTAAACTGCAACATTAAACCCAACCCCCCTTTCAGAGGCGGGCACTGTACTTCCCACTCCAGGACTCAAGTCCGGCCTGCCGGTTTCCCTGAACCCCTTCATAAATGTTACTTTGCTCACACTCCAACAGCACGTCAAGTATTAAAAACCATTTGTTCCATTCACTCCTAACAAACAGGCTAAACGCATGCCTGCTGTAAGTCAAAGCCCCTCACACAAAAAACCTCCTTTTCCCCCCCCCTCCAACCTTTCCTAGGCCCCGCCCCCTACCCCCGCCTTCCTTCCATTTACAGACTGATACACTCTTGAAGTCACTCTGTTTCGCTCCATTCTCTCTAAAATGTCCGAACCACCTCAACAACCCTTCCTCAGCCCTCTGGACAACATTTTGGTAATCCCGCACCTCCTCTAACTTCCAACTACAAAATTCTCTGCATTATATTCACACCACACATTGCCCTCAGACATGACACTCCACTGCCTCCAGCCTTCTCCTCGCTGCAACATTAAATCACCCATGCTTCACACCCATATAAGAGCTTTGGTAAAACTATACTCTCATACATTCCCCTCTTTGCCTCCAAGGACAAAGTTCTTTGTCCTCCACAGACTCCTAAGTGCACCACTCACCCTTTTCCCCCCATCAATTCTATGATTCCACCTCATCTTTTACAGACCCATCCACTGACATGGGCCACTCCCAAAATATCTGAATACATTCACCTCCTCCATACTCTCTCCCTCCAATCGATATCCAATCTTTCTTTACCTAATCTTTTTGTTACCCCCATAACCTTACTCTTTCCTGTATTCACTTTTTAATTTTCTTCTTTTGCACACCCTACCAAATTCATCCACCAATCTCTGCAACTTCTCTTCAGAATCTCCCAAGAGCATAGTGTCATCAGCAAAGACCAACTGTGACAACTCCCACTTTATGTGTGATTCTTATCTTTTTAAATCACGCCCCTTGCCAAGACCCTCGCAATTACTTCTCTTACAACCCCATCTATAAATATATTAAACAACCACGGTGACATCACACATCCTTGTCTAAGGCCTACTTTACTGGGGAAAAAATTTCCCTCTTTCCTACATACTCTAACTTGAGCCTCACTATCCTCGTAAAAACTCTTCACTGCTTTCAGTAAACCTACCTCCTACACCATACACCTGCAACATCTGCCCCATTGCCCCCCTATCCACCCTGTCATACGCCTTTTCCAAATCCATAAATGCCACAAAAAACCTCTTTAGCCTTATCTAAATAAATGTTCACTTATATGTTTCACTGAAACACCTGGTCCACACCCCCTACCTTTCTAAAGCATCCTTGTTCATCTGCTATCCTATTCTCCTTCTTACTCTTAATTCTTTTAATAATAACTCTACCCTACACTTTACCAGGTATACTCAACAACTTTTTTTTTTTTTTTTTTTTTCAACAAGTCGCCGTCTCCCACCGAGGCAGGGGGACCCAAAAAAGAAAGAAAATCCCCAAAAAGAAAAATACTTCATCATCATTCAACACTTTCACCACACTCGCACATTATCACTGTTTTTGCAGAGGTGCTCGGAATACAACAGTCAGAACATACACATATAAAGATACACAACATATCCCTCCAAACGCCAATATCCCAAACCCCTCCTTTAAAGTGCAGCATTGTACTTCCCATTTCCAGGACTCAAGTCCGACTAATAAAATAACCGGTTTCCCCGAATCCCTTCACTACATATTACCCGCTCACACTCCAACAGATCGTCAGTCCCCAAGTACCATTCGTCTCATTCACTCCTATCTAACACGCTCACGCACGCTTGCTGAAGTCCAAGCCCCTTACCCACAAAACCTCCTTTACCACCCTCTCTCCAACCCTTTCGAGGACGACCCCTACCCCGCCTTCCTTCCCCTATAGATTTATATGCTTTCATGTCATTCTACTTTGATCCATTCTCTCTAAATGACCAAACC